CTGCGGCGCGTGCGGGGCGCTCGGCCATGCGCGGCCGGCACGCGGGTAAGCGGGCAGGGAGCTGAGCGGCCGCGAGGCCCTGGGGTTGCCCCTGAAAGCCAGGAAAGGGGGCGCTCCGCGGGCAGCTCTTAGCAGGCGGTAGGGTGTGCAGGGTCATTGGAAGTTACGAGTAGGAGGTTGATGGCATTGAATTTGCACAGCAAATGCCAACGTTCATTCTCTCTCTCTCTGTCTAGGAGAATCCTGGAGGAAGGAAGCAGCTGATGTATCCCTAGGAGCGGGTCAAGATCAATTATCAGAAGAGGGGAGCCTTTTCCAGCTGGCTAATCAAGAATTTGAAGACAGTGAGGTATTTATTCATAGTTGTACAGTTATATTTGCATAATGTATTCACTGGTTCATGATCAATAGATTCAAATCCAAAACTAGTGCAACCTCAGTTTACTTTATAAACCTTTATAAATAGCTTTCATCTTGAATATGATTTTGTTCCTATGTGGATGACATCAGGATGCTGATTCTTTATAGTACAGGCAGTCCCCGGGTTACATGGATCCGACTTACATCAGATCCCTACTTACAAACGGGGTGAGGCAACCCCGCACTAGCTGCTTCCCCCAGCAGACCAGGGAGACGCGGAGCGGCTTTTCTCAGCCGACACCTCAGCTTGAGAATAAAGGACTGTGGGAAGTGAGGTGTGGGAGAATAAAACTGAGCTCTGGAGAAATGTTTGGCTAGAGTTTCCCCTACAATATGTACCAGTTCCGACTTACATACAAATTCAACTTAAGAACAAACCTACAGTCTCTGTCTTGTATGTAACCCAGGGACTGCCTGTAGTATTAATTAGGATGTGCTAGTTGAGGAATAAAGGGAGTTTTCAGCAGCAGGCCATATTGGGGCCACTGCTTACAGCAAGACCTGCTGATAAGAACCATTGCCATTCCCAAGACTGTTCTCTCCGTTTCTGATGGCGAGATCACTTGATGATTCCCTTTCTGTTCATTCCCACTGAAGCACTTGGCATGGTCACTGTTGGAAGACAGGACGCTGGGATAGATGGATCTTTGATCTGACCTAGTCTGGCCGCTCTGATGTTACTTTTCAGCTTCGCCATTGAGTCAGGAATTGACAGTGGTGGTGAGCCAGCAGAGTTCATGTCTGTAGGACAAAAAAATGGGACTATGGCTGGGAGCAAACTATATAGGGGTTAAAACTTAAAAAAAAAAAAAAACCAAATAGTCCTGCAGCACCATAGAGACAATCCAGATGGTATCGTGAGCTTTCATGGCCACAACCCACTTCAAATGTAGGTTGTGCCCGGGAAAGCTCATGATACCATTTACATTGTTTTGTTAGTCTCTAAGGTGCTTCGGGACTATTTATAGCGTTTGAAGTTTTTTCAGTTGCAGACTATGACTGCTGCCTATCTGAAACTTTCATACAGGGGGTTAGTCAGAACTGGTTAGTACATCTAGGTAGCAGAAAGAGATGGGGCCAAAGAGGATTGCATTGGCAGTAATGGAAAGGATGGGGTACACAGTTTTTCACTTTATATGTGTGGGTTACACTTGACATCTTCCAGTTGAATAATCATCAAAAGACTGCTTCCTAGGGTTACCTAGAACTGACTGAAATCAAATTAACCAAAAAAGCAAGTTTAAAATGCCTTTGTGAAAGATTGTAAGCATATGGAACTTGCCATTCAGTGATTTGCTTACTGACACAGTGTGTGCTCCTTGAGTAGATTAATATAGTTCACAATGGCAAAACTTAATTTCTGACGCTGGTTAGTTTTATTTAAATCCAGTCCCTTGTCTCCTGCCTTTCCACATTCCATTGTATTCTTGGTGCTGCTGAACTTGTATCATTGGATTTTATTGTGCTTGGCTATCCTGTTGAACATAAGTATATGTTAGAAGGATTCATATGGGATGAGAAGAGGACAGCATTGCTCTGGACTCCTAACTTCGCGTGTTTTTTGACTGTGTTATAGTGGAATGTCACTCTCTGTCATTTCCATTCCTAGTCAGAAAATGAGACCTTTGACCCTCAGGAAGAAAATCCTGCAACAGATGAGAAGCTGAAGTCCCCCCAAAAAACCGCCTCTGGTCAGAAAATGGGACTGAAGGAATTGGTCGTTCCTGAGGACTCTGCTGTCACTGAAACTCACCCTCAAGAGGAGGAAAAACCTACAAGGTCTTGCCCTTCGCCCACAGAGGTGGCAGATGCAGTGAAGACAGTACAGCACTTCATGGAGGAATTCAGCATGGACCTTTCCACTGTTACACAAGCCTTTCTGAAAAACAATGGTGAAGTGGAGTCCACTTCCTACTTCTTACAGACCAGCCAGCGCTTGGATGGGTACCCTATATGGAGCAGACAGGATGACTTAGACTTGCAAAAAGCAGATGAAAACATCAGAAGCAAATTAATAGCAAAATTTGGAGCTGAGAATGTGGTAAAGCGTGTTGCATTCAGGAAGAGTTAGATGGTAGCTTGTGAAGGATGGTTCATGGACTGAGACCCTCCTAGGAGAGCAGATCAGACTTGTATCTCCAACCTTCAGGAAAAAAGAAGGGTGAGGATTTGTAGATGTTTGAAGCTGCTAGGATAGCCACCTGCACTGTCATTTCATACATCATTTTCTGTCAACTCTTCCCATGACTTTCCATGGTTATGCTTAGCCTTGTCTTTAATATATTTTTTGTAAATGCTGAATAGCCTGCTTATAAATCTAAAACTTTAAAATTGGGTAAAGCATGAGCACTCCTTAATTTCTTCAGAGCCAAGTTAACTAAGCAGTGGAAATCTGTCTCTCCATGGACTTGTGTACAGATACCTCCTCCCACCACTGTGTATAGGACAAAAGCAGAATTGGGATGATACATGAAAATGCTTTTTAATACATCAGCATTAAAGTAGGAACCTGTGCCGCCATATGCAAACAAAAACAGCACTGCCACCTTGTGTTTGTAAAGCTTCCCTGGCCGAGATAATCTCTCCCTTCTAGGTCAAAATAAACACTTATGTTGACACAAGACAAGATGTGCCTTAGGGGTTACATAGTAAGCACTTTGATTATCCTTTTATGCTCCAGGCTTCTGTACCCCTCAGCTGTCTTATAACCCTGGAAGACTCACTGATGTTGATGCAGGTAGAAGCTGCTAAGCCACCAGTTTTGCAATGATTGTCTGATTGTCTCTGGATGAGTTCTAAGCTTGTTGCTAAGCTTTTGGAGGGAGAGATGGGTTCCACTGCAAAGTGCAGATATTAAATATTGTTACATCCATATAAAACTACACTTCCTACTAGGGAATTTGATATCCAGTATGATACAAATGCTAGTTAAGGATTGAAACTTTTTTGATTATTCATACCTGACTAAAACTTGGAAGGGCTAAAGAATATTAAATACTGTTTGTAGGTGTCCAGCTAAAATCTTTCTAGCCTCTCTGCCTGTTGTGCTGCAGTTTTGTTTTAGTTTAAATTTGTTGTTGGCAAATGTGAGAATATATTATTTTCAAATGCATTTGTAACGTCATGCGGGGAGAATATCCCTGCTATTCAATAGTGTTATGTGAGAAGACCTTTCTAGAGAAATGTTATACGTGCACCGACTGAAAGACTAGTCATTTGTTTTTACCTCTGTAAAGTGCTCTAACACCCATTGCCTCTGTCACACTCATGTCATTTAGAATGTGAATACTAAATTCAAATCTTTCAAACTTGTTTTTCAAGATTTTTATGGAAGAGCTAAGTGCCTTAGCTGCAGTCCCCACTATTGAGGCAAATAATGTAGTAAGATTAAAAAGGATTAAACACTTTACATGAATAGTGTAAACACTTTACTTGGGGGGAGGGATAGCTCAGTGGCTTGAGCATTGGCCTGCTAAACCCAGGGTTGTGAGTTCAATCCTTGTGGAGGCCATTTAGGGATTTGGGGCAAAAATTCATTAGGGATGGTACTTGGTCCTGCTGTGAAGGCAGGGGACTGGACTTGATGACCTTGCAAGGTCCCTTCCAGTTCTAGGAGATAGGCAATCTAGGAGAAGGCCACGAACTTCCTTCACTTTACTTACAGTATTCCATGCTTAGTCAGATGCATGATGAGACTGTATGTAGCACTGTGAAGTATCTTCAGCTTATCCAAAGTATGTTAAATTCAACAAGTGTTGGGTAAAAATAGTCAGACATAAAGCCACTAGACAAACTGTGGGCTGCATCTGGACCACCACCAAAAATTTTTTAAAAATTAATAAAAACTAATACAAAATGTAGATGGTATTAAGGGCTTTCGTGGGCAAAACCCACTCCCTTTAGGTGAAAGGAGTTTAAGGGGTCCAAGTTCCAAATAACAGGGGAGGGGAGTGAAAGGAGAGGAGAAAAAAACTGGAAAAAAAAAATCAGTTTGCTAAATGATGCTGATAGGGTACTACATGTTCTTAAGTACTTGTAAACTTAAAAAAGAACAAATGATGTGGTAGCACTTCACAGACTAACAAAACATGTAGATGGTATCTGAAGAAGTGGGCTGTGTCCCCCTTCCTCATCCTCCCCTTTCCCCCCAAAAGCTCATATTGCCATCTACAAGTTTTGTTAGTCTATAACAGGGGTGCCCAACCTATGGGTTGAGACCCAAATATGGGTTGCCATTACATTTCAAAAGGGTTGCCAAGTGTCTCCACAGGTGGCTCTGCCCCTCCACCTCCCCCTGTTTTTGAATTGCCTTGGGTCACCAAGTCTTCCTGAATTGTCAAAAATGGGTCCCCATCTGGAAATGTTTGGGAACTGCTGGTCTATAAAGTGCTACCAGACCATTTGTTGTTTAAGTTTATCCTGTACAGACTATCTCAGCTGCCCCCTGAAGCTTAAGTACCTGGTGTTTGGCCTTTTATGTCATTGGGATTTGGAATGTAGCAGGTAATGCAGTTAAGGTCTTTATTTAAACCTCCATTGTAGGTATCACACTTGTAAATGAAATTAAACTCTGCAGCTTCCTTTCAAACTGACTTTTGAAATTGGCTTGCAATAATACGACTTTGAGGTCCCTTAATAAGTACCCAGGTAGGTTAAAATATATCCCAATAGGTTTCTGTGTGTTACCTTTTCGAATATCTGATATGACTACCAGTCATTTTAATTTGACCCTTAGGCTTCTGCTGGGGCGTGAGATCTGGAGCATGTCTTGGCCCATGGATCTCCTCGTAGGAGCGACATGTCCCCCTTCAGGCTTGCATAAGGGCAGCTAGAGAGCTCCATGTGCTGCGCCTGCCCCAAGACCATCCCTGCTGCTCCCATTGGCTACTGCCTATAGACAGGGTGGGAGAGAGCGCACGCAGCTACCTGCTTTTACCTCCAGGTAAATCCAACCCCGGCATTGGGGAGCCGGCACTGGTGCTCCAGCCCCCTACTAACCTACCGCATGGCTGGAACACAAAATCTACTAGGCTGGCCCTCCCTAGGCTCTGGTGTGGGGATGAATTTGGAGAGTCTTCTTAGTGAGGGGTTGGCTCGTGTGTGTGCACACACCTGTCACTTTGTGTGTAACCCCCAACTGTTTTTTCTGAGAGTCAGTGGCCCCGACCCACAAAAAGTTCCTCACCCCCCAGTGTAGGAGAGAGCCCCTGACATAGGAGGTAAGCACAGCCTGGAGCCTGCATCCCTTAGCCTCTCCCCAGCCTGGATCTCCCTCCTGCTTTCTGAACACACTGATCCCAGCCCAGCCCCCTTGCACCCCTAACCCTTCAGCCCCACCTCAAAGCCACTTAGCCTGGAGCCCCCTCCTGCAGCATGAGCATTTGGCCCCACCTCAGAGCCCACACACTCAGCCAGAGCCCTTGCCTATTCCTGCACCCCAACCTCAATTTCATGGGCATTTCTGGCCCTTCATATAATTTCCATACTTGCTGTGGCCCTTAGTTTGCCCACCCATGCACTGCTGTACAGAGGAAACAATACGTATGCCTTGCCTTCTGCCTGGATGCCAGGTGGATTCATGAATGAGGCTGGGTTTCTGTTCTCAGGGTATGGAACAAACCCCGTCATAGAGAATATTTAGCCATTGCATAGTATTTTCACTGTTAACATGCTGTACAAAGATTACTCCTAACACTGACTAGAAGGCCTCTATATAAAACCATGGTATGCCCACATCTTGAATGCTGCGTACAGATGTGGTCACCTCATCTCAAAAGATGTATTGGAAAAGGTTCAGAAAAGGGCAACAAAAATGATCAGGGGTTTGGAACAGGTCCTAAATGAAGAGATATTAACTCTCTTCTTCTGCAAAAACTCTTCCAGAAGAGAGCGTCTACACTGGCGTGTGCTTTTGCACAAGAGCATCTATGCCAGTGTAGACGCTCTCTTGCGCAAGAAAGCTCTGATGGCCATTTTAACCATAGGGCTTTCTTAGGCAACATGAATTTCTTGCGCATCTACACTGGCCTCTTGCACAAGAAGAGTGGTGCAAAAGGCCTAATTCCTGAGCGGGAGCATCAGATTTCTGGTGCAAGAAGCCCTGATTTCATACTGTAGAACGTCAGTGTTCTTGTGCAAGAACACACGGCCGGTGTAGACAGGCAGCAAGTTTTTGCACAAGAGCAGCCACTTTTGCGCAAGATCGTGCCAGTGTCAACACAGCCTTGCACTTTTCATCTTAGAAAAGAGGAGATTAAGGGGGGATATGATAGAGGTCTATAAAATCATGAGTGGTGTGGAAAAAGTGAATTCCCACAATGTAAGAACTAGGGGTCACCAAATAAAATTAATAGGTATAGCAGATTTAAAACAAAAGGAAGTTTTTCTTCACTCAGCACACAGTCAACCTGTGGAACTCCTTGCCAGAGGATGCTGTGAAGACCAGAACTTTAACAGGATTCAAAAAAGGCCTAGATAAATTCATGGAGGTTAGGTCCATCAATGGCTATTAGCTAGTATGGGTAGGAATGGTGTCCCTAGCCTCTGTTTGTCTGGAAATGGGTGATGGGGAGGGATCATGTGAGGATTACCAGTTGTGTTTCCTCCCTCTGGAGCATCTGGTATTGGCAACTATTGGCAGACAGTACACTGGGCTAGATGGATTGTTGGTCTGACTCAGTGTGGCTGTTCTTATGTTTAAGGCATCTATTACCATGAATCCTCGTACAGCACGGCTGTGTCTACATTGGCATCCCTTTCCGGAAAAGGGATGCTAATGAGGCACTTCGGAATTGCAAATCTGCGGGGGATTTAAATATCCCCCGCGGCATTTGCATTTACATGGCTGCCGCTTTTTCCGGCTCGGGGTTTTTGCCGGAGAAAAGTGCCAGTGTAGACGCGATTCTCCGGAAAATAAGCCCTTTTCCGGAAGATCCCTTATTCCTACTTTTTTGTAGGTTTGTTCTTAAGTTGAATCTGTATGTAAGTCGGAACTGGCATCCAGATTCAGCCGCTGCTGAAAATGATCAGTTTCAACAGCGGCTGAATGTGGACACCAGATCTGACTTACATACAGATTCAACTTAAGAACAAACCTACAGTCCCTATCTTGTACGTAACCCGGGGACTGCCTGTAATGCACATTGGGAAGAATAACCCCAACCATACATACTAATTTGGGGGCTAATTTGGCTACGACAAATCAGGAAAGAGATCTTGGAATTATCGTGGATAGATCTCTGAAAATGTCCACACAGTGTGCAGCGGCGGTCAAAAAGGCAAATAGAATGCTAGGAATTATTAGGAAAGGGATAGAAAATAAGACCCAGAATATCTTACTGCCCCTGTATAAAACTATGGTACGCCCACATCTTGAATGCTGTGTACAGATGTGGTCTCCTCACCTCAAAAAAAGATATTTTGGCCTTGGAAAGGGTTCAGAAAAGGGCAACTAAAATTATTAGGGGTCCCATATGAGGAGAGGTTAAAGAGACTGGGACTTTTCAGTTTAGAAAAGAGGAGACTGAGGGGGGATATGATAGAGGTCTATAAAATCATGAGTGGTGTGGAGAGGGCCGATAAAGAAAAGTTATTTATTAGTTCCCATAATAGAAGAACTAGAGGACACCAAATGACATTAATGGGGAGCAGGTTTAAAACTAATAAAAGAAAGTTCTTCTTCACACAGCGTGTAGTCAACCTGTGGAACTCCTTGCCAGAGGAGGCTGTGAAGGCTAGGGCTATAATAGAGTTTAAAGAGAAGCTAGATAATTTCATGGAGGTTAGGTCCATAAAAGGCTATTAGCCAGGGGATAAAATGGTGTCCTTGGCCTCTGTTTGTCAGAGGCTGGAGAGGGATGGCAGGAGACAAATCGTTTGATCATTGTCTTCGGTCCACCCTCTCTGGGGCACCTGGTGCTGGCCACTGTTGGCAGACAGGCTACTGGGCTAGATGGACCTTTGGTCTGACCCAGTACGGCCGTTCTTATGTTCTTATCTGCATATTGATAACACTGCTTTCCAGGCCTCCTCATTCACACTCACTACAACTTAAAATAAGGGGTGGGGAGGCTATAAATGGAGCCCTGTGGAATCCTGCAATACAGAACCCTTGGGACAGAAGAGCAAATAATTTCTGTCTTTTAGAAATCTCTCAAAGAGTAAGCCCTGCAGAGTAGCCCTGTCTATGCCTCATGGGATTTTTTGGCAAACCAACAGTGTTGGAGGCATCCAGAAGATTTAACAGTTCCAGTACAGACAGCTGATCACCACCCCTTGGGGGTCAGAGTTGACTATCCCAGTCCCCGTT